CTGCCAGCCAGAGGGAACTTCTCGAACTGCCATCATTGTGGATTAACTTTATTGAACAGAAGCTGCATGGAACACCATATTACATGAAAGGGAGCTCCATACCAAACCCCAGAGATGGCCTGGCTCTGCTCCCCACTCAACGAACATAATAAGCCAGATATTACCCTGACGACAGGTATGCGTCCAAGAGCCTCAGCATCCATGACAGTATAGATTTGAGCTCTCTGGGGGGAGTCAAGGAAGCTTATGTATCATTGGTTTTTCATCAACGTCAAAAGCCTTTTCTATTGCAACAGATAGGCCAGAGGAGACAGGACAAACAGAAGTCTGCTGGCTCAGTAGGAAACCTCCTGAGGGTCAGAAAAGTAGCTGAATTATTGAGCCATCAATAGGTGACCCTGGGAACAGCTCCCTGTGGCTCAATTGCTCCTTTTTCCATTTTAAGGAATCCTGAGGGTGGGGAGAGGATTAGGGGAGAACCATTTTATCAGTTCTCCTTCAGTTAAAACATAAAATAATAAAAATGGCAGGCACCATGCACCCCAGACCTTGGCAAGAAGAATAGGCAGCACTGGCGTGTGGTGCCAATAGTTCATTTCCGTGGACACGCCACCAGATTTACAGAGGCAGTCATCAGCACTGTCAGAAACATACTGCTCTCTTCACCAGCCATTGTCTAGTTCTTCTCCAGGGAAAAAACTCACCTCCTGCATTAGTTATCCTCCACTGTTGTTAAGTTTACAAATGAGCCACAATTCACCTTTTAGTGAGCCATATGTCAGATGTATACTTGGAATAATGATAATAAACCAAAAAAGAAAACAAATCCATTGCCATTGAGTCGATTCCTACTCATAGCAACCCTATAGGACAGAGTACAACTGCCTCATAGAGTTTCCAAGGAGCGCCTGGTGGATTTGAACTGCCTACCTTTAGCAGCTGTAGCACTTAACCACTATGCCACCAGGGTTTCCATAATGATAATAGCTGACGTATATTGAGGGCTTACTATGAGCCAGGCATCGTTCAAAGGCTTTACAGGTATTAATTCATAACAAGCCCATGATATGGGTACTATTATTGTCTCCATTTTACAGATGTAGAAACTGAGGCATAGAGAGGTTAAGTAATTTGCCAAAGGTCACATGGCTACTTAATGGCAAAGCAGGGATTTGAACCTAGGCACTCTGGATCCAGAGCCCATGCTGTAATCTCATGGTAAACTGTCTTCCTAAAATGAGAGGAGAAAATCAGCTCACATATAACTCAAATGATTTTACACACAAAGTATGTCTTAGCCAGATGCTATTGCCCAATGTACTTTCCAGACAATAAGGGTGCTGCTGAATGAAATATCTAAGACCAGGTTTCCAAGGAGTCAAGCAGCTCTCCCTGCAGCACAGCTGCAAGATCACTGAAATGCAAGGTTGAGGGGGACCCTGAAAAGCCGTTTCTTCATAGTCCTTAAGAAAACAAGATGTAGGCAAAGGGAGATAGAGGTGGAAATGAAACTCATCCTTGAGGTTCAAATGTCTGGTTGGAGCTGGATGTGGAGAATGCTCATTAGAGCTGGCAGCGGCTGCATAGAGCCCAAATGCTTTCAATTTAAATGGCATCTTAGCAGCCATCTGAAGGAAGTATTTTGGTACCTCTTTTACCTCAAAGAGCATATTGTATTACTAATAGTAATAATAATGGCAACAGTTAACCTTTACTGAGTGCTTATTATATGCCAAGTATTGTGCTAAGTACATTATTTAATCTTCACAGCAATCCCATGAGGTAGATACTATTATTACAACCCTTTTACAGATGAAGAAACCAAGGCACAGAGAGGTCAAGTCCTGTTCAAGGTCACACAGCTAGCAAGTGGCAGAGCCAGGATTCAAACCCAAACAGTCTGACTTTAGGGCCTGTGTTGTTAAACACAGAGAAATAGCCTCTGAGCTACTGTTAAGAAGACTTACCCCAATTTTCTAGGCCTATTATTGACCCCAGGAGTCCCTGGGTGGCACAAACAGTTAAGTGTTCAACTACTAACCAAAAGTTGGTGGTCTGAACTCACCCAGAGGTGCCTCAGAAGAAAGGCCTGGAGATTTGCTTCCAAACGGTTACAGCTTTGAAAACCCTATGGAGCAGTTCTACTCTGAACACATGGGGTCGCCATGAGTCAGAGTTGACTTGATGGCAACTTTTTTTTTTTTTAATTATTGACCCCAGCTTAAGCTTTGGGCCTGTAATCTCCTAGGCCTTTTCTGCTCCACATTATAGACAGGTGTCTAAGCACTGAAGATTACTTTGTGAGTGTAGGTTGATGCTTAAATGTGGTAATTTACAATGTACCTGGTTAAGTTAACAGTCCACAGCTCTGTGCAGGGCCCCCCCTAGCCTCAGAGCAGAGTTGGCCTCAAGATTTTTGCTGGGGCATTTACCTATACAATTCAAACTGCCATAAACTGGGAATGTTTCGGCCAAATCAGGTTGTCTAGTCACCCTAGACTCTAAGAGATTGTGACTCAGAATCACTCCACGTGGAGCTATAATATATAAGCAATATAGAAAAAGAGGAAGACCCTCAACGAGACGGATTGACACAGTGGCTGCAGCAATGGGCTCAAGCATAACAATGATTGAGAGGATGGTGCAGGACCAGGTAGTGTTTCGTTCTACTGTACATAGGGTCACTATGAGTCAGAACTGACTTGACAGCACCTAACATCAACAACAACAATATAGTTTAAATACTATTATAATGAAATAATAAAAGAATAAATAAAAATACCCACTGCTTCCTTTAGAGACATTTATGAGAAATATAGTGATAATGATTTAAAAAGTATTTTAACAACTGACATTTTTGAGCACTAGTTGTGCTAAGCACTTTATATATATAGACTATCTCAACTAATTCACTCTATATATATAGACTACCTCATCTAATTCACTGTATACATATAGACTATCTCATCTAATTCTCACAACAACCCTAGAAGGCAGGCACTATTAGCCTGACTTTACGGATGAGAAAATTGGGTCTCATAACAGGCACACAACTGCCCAAGATCAAACAGTGAAAGAAACAGGCTTAGAACCCAAGCAGATTGACCCCAGAGGCTGAGCGCTTAACCACTGTACAAGACTGGCTCCTGCGCTAACACCTGCTGGTCCACTAGTCATTTAAAACCCAAGGAGATCCATGGTCCAATAATTCTAGCCCTCAAAGGGTCCCCGGTTGTTCATTTCAGTAAAGGCTTTGAACCAGTCTGGTTCAACCCCCTGCTGAGAATTTGCATTTCTAACAAGTTCCCAGGAAGTTATAAATAAGAATCACCTGGGGATCCTGTTAAATTGTAGATTCAGATTCAGTATATCTGGAGGTGGAAATGCAAATTCTCAGCAGGGGTGCTAACCAGAATGAACCGGGTTGGAAGCCCTGATTTCAATTATGGTTGGTCCAATGGAGCAGGATGCAGCCCAGTCATGAGAATTAGTCTGGTGGAACGGTTCTTCAGCTCTGCCAAATATAGAATCCAAGCTCCTTTTTTTTCCACACTTCTCATTCACGTACTTTGTTTCTTAATTTTTAACTACTTTTTTGTTTCTTAGATTTCAATGTAATAACATTTCTCAAATTATTACTATTGTTGTCTCCTACCCCACCTCATCCTCATTATAACCTGTAAGCATTTAAGATTTGGGCTGGAATTATGAAATTTTGGCTGGGGAGGGGACAGTAGCTAACTGTATCAATAAATGACAGAAAAAATGACATCACTCCAGATGCGTGTTTCTCAACTTCAATGTGTATGTGAATCATCTTGAGGACCTTGTTAAGATGCAGTTTCTGATTCTGGAGGTCTGGGGTAGGGCCTGAGATTCTGGAATTCTAAACAGTTCCTGGGCTGTGCAGACCACACTTTGAGTAGCAAGGTTCTAGACTGGCCTGGTCCTCTCAGGCTTTTAAATAAGATCATAATGAAATAAATCCAGGGAGATTAATGCTTAGGCTGTTTAAAAAGCCACCTCAGGCCTCCTGAGATGTCAATTCCCTAAGTTATTCACAAACCCATTTTAATCATTAATAGCTCCGACTATTCAGGAAGATTTTTTACACCTAAACTAAACCCTTCATATACTTTGGCATTTTTCTTTTGATTTTTCTTTAGTGGAGATGGAGTTAGTCCATCATGTCCATTCTCTTAAGGGTTACTTTGTTTAAAAAAAAATGTAAACAGTTATTCAATTTTAAAAATAACTTTTGGGATTATCCTCACCATCTCCTTTTTTCTCTTTAGGAATCTAAGCTCAGCGGTTAAGTGTTCGGCTGCTAACCAAGAGGCTGGCAGTTTGAATCCACCAGCCACTCCTTGGAAACATTGTGGGGCAGTTCTACTCTGTCTTATAGGGTTGCTATGAGCCGGAATCCACTTGATGGCAAACAGTTTGGTTTTTCTGTTTAAGTCATTGTGGAATCCCTGGGTGGTGCAAAATGGTTAACACACTTGGCATGTCAGAAGAAAGGCCTGGTGATCTACTTCTGAAAAATCAGCCACTGAAAACCTTATGGAGCACAGTTCTACTCTTGACACACATGAGGTCGCCATGAGTTGGAAGCCACTCGATAGCAACTTTTTTTTAAGTCAGTTATATCCACCAATTCTCTTTCCATCTCCATGTTTATTTGCCTCTTCTAAGAAATCTACAAATTAGACAAGCTTTGTATTCCCTTGCCAAAACCCTCTTGCGTTTTATTTTAATGAGCTGTTTAAATATTCAATGACCCTATCTCCACTAGTTATGCCCCAGCTTGCCCAAAGTGCAATGGGGAGTACACTGGTAGCTACTGGCTACCCAGTCTATAAAGCTCATATTACAAAAATGCACACTCTAGGCAGAATCTGGGAAATGCCATCTTCAAAATAAGTTGTGTCATACTGCTATATTTATTACCACATGGTCAATAAAAAGAAGCACTTGTGAGGTGATTAAAAATAGCATACCAGGTAAAATTGGTTGTCCAGCAATTCCCATCGGTGTCATTCCAAGATTATTCATTGCTGTGGCCCATGCAGTTGGATCAGACATAGGAAGTGTCATTGCAGTAGAGTCCACATTCAGAGTTCTACTATTATCAGCTGAAAGAAATGATAAGCAAAATAATTTGTTGTCTTAAGATTCCAGTATCTACTCTACTTATCAATATGTAAACTCTGGCAAACCCTTTACAGTAATGGTCTGATGAGTGGTGGATAAGGCCTCAATTTCAAGTTTCTTACAAAGGTTAAAACAATACAGACTGAACTGGCAGGAAGTCATGGAATTTGAAAGCAGTTTATCAGATGATATTTAGTGTAAGAGTTTCTTCCCTCCCTCCATCCCTCCCTTTATTCCTTCTTTCCTCCCACCCCACCTATTTTTTTCATGTATACACACCACAGGAGCTTGGGATGATTAAAGGTTTCCTGTTCTTCTCATAGTCTACTTGAATATGATTACTTCAGCAGCTTCCATCCAAACTACTCATGCATGCAAACCAAGAAAAACCATCCAAGGGCTTCCGCAGTTGGCAGTAAAAAATGAAAATTATACTCCTGATGCAATTTCATATCTTTGAGGCAGTACCATTGAATAGAGCTGGATATATAATCAAGAGACATCAAATTAGCCAATTGACTACTTTTGGGGTTACGGAAATACTGGAGAAAAAGCAGACAGGAGACGTAGTCCCTGCCCTCAAGGGTTGCACACAGTCTATTGGAGAGACTGATGATGATGGTGATGACTATTACTATTATTACTAGTATCACCACTTGTACCACTATTACCATTAGTAATTATTGAACACTTACCATATGTTAGGTAAAGCACTTGACAGACATTATTTTCATTCAACTCTCAGAACAACCCTTTGAGATAGAGACTATTTATATCTCCATAGATAAGAGGTTTAGAAAAGTCACGTGTATCAGGATGTATGCTTTTACCCACTATGCTTTACTATCTCCAATTAAGCAAATAGCAAACAATGAAATACTTGAATGATATAGACCAGAAATGTTACTGAAATTTGAGGAATGAAGAGCTACTGTGGCCTAAGTAAGTATGAAAGGTTCCATGCAGAAGACAGTAGTTGAAAGGATGGAGTAGATTTCTATAGATCGTGCCTTGGGTGATAGGTAGGAATTGGATAGGTAAAGAAGGCGGCGGGGGCGGGGGAGGCATTCCAGGAGCAGGGATGACATAAGCAAAGACACAGAAGCAGGTGACATATGCATATGCATGTACATATTGCACAGCTGGGAGAGATATAGTCTTAGTCATCTGAACACAAAAAAGACTTTTATTTTGAGAAATTTCCCTCTGACTACTAATACCCAGAGGAAAAACTTTCCATGGCTTTCCTCCTACCTCCCAGTATGTATTTCTGCCAGTTATACCCCTGAAGGCAACTCTGTTCTAATAGTAGCGCATTAATGTCCATCACATCCTTCCAACCTGGCAACATCAGGGATGATCCTTGGTCAGGCTATTTATACTTGTGCTATTTTGGTCACTGATTGGTCAGAATAAGCAAATGTCCAAAAGCACTATTTACTGAAATATAATTTTTGTGATTATTCTATGCTGCCCATGCCTCCTCCCCTACAAACCACACACACACACACACACACACACACCTCACAGAGCAACTGATGGACCTAAGCATTCATTACTGCAGTCAGAAGTCTGATTTCAGAACCTGTGATTTCTCCATCTGCAGGAACTCTAGCCCTCACACTCAGTTTTCAGTGCTCTCTCATAAACGTGTATCACAAGGCTAGAAATAGCCTCCTTGTAAATGTTATCAAGAAAGCAAATATGGGTCATCAAATATCCTTTGGGTCAAGAGTTTATATAGTGATAGTTAGGTCTACTTGGAATCCCAATTCCCAATCAGGGGAGATAAGTATTTAAGGAATGTTTTAGCTACAAGGAACCCTGAGGTGAGTGATTAAGCACTTGGCCACTAACTGAGACGTTGGCGGCTTGAACCCACCAGCCGCTCTGCGGCAGAAAGATGTGGCAGTCTGCTTCTGTAAAGATTTATAGCCTTGGAAACCCTATGCAGCAGTTCTACTCTGTCCTATAGAGTCGCTATGAGTTGGAATTGACTCCATAGCAGCAGATTTATTTTTTTATAGCTGGAAGAGGAGTCCCTGGATGATGCAAACGGTTAAGCACTTGACTACTAACTTAAAGGTTGAAGGTTTGAACCCACCCAGAGGTGACTCAGAAGAAAATCTTGGCGATCTACTCCCAAAATCCTATAGAGTGCAGTTCCACTCTATACACATGGGGTCTCCATGAGTCGGAATCGACTTGATGGCAACTGGTTTGGTTTTTTTGGTATAGCTGGAAGGGCCTTTAGAGATTACTGAGTTCACACCCTGATGTTCTCTGGTGGCTGCAGAATGACTCACAGCGGTAACTACTAGATTCAGAAGGACTGGACATCAATGCCAAAATTAATTTCATGTAGCAGTTTGGCTAGTCATTGGCTCTGCAGTACTGGGAAATATAAGAGAATTAGGAACTCTTCCCAGTAAAGGATTTTGAGATCAAAGGATGAAAATTTACAATGTACCAACATAACAACTTTGGACTAATCTGAGCATTGGAGTGGGGAGAATGATCCAAATTTTCAGTTTAAAAAAAAATACTGTGAGGTACTTTTTCAAAATATATAGCAATTCAAAGTGCCTGTTAAAATGTTAGCAAGTAGAGGTCCTGATAGGCTTGCTTACATGAACTTATAAGGAACATGTGTAATTAACACCATTATTTTTCCACAATGAATGTGGTTCTTTAGTTCTTAAGAAGTTCTGTCTTCAATGCCTGTCTCATCTCCATCCCCTCCCCCAACATCTATCTCCACCTGTCATATCCTACTCATTTTTCAAGGGTCATCTCAAATGCCACCTTGTCTGTGAAGCCACTTCACTGGAATTAATTACTCCTTCCTATGTGTTTGAATAGCATTTTATCTAGAATTTAATTTTCATGTGCTTGTTAATTCATTCATTCCCTCCTTTCCCCCAACCAAACTTGTAGTGAGTCTTACTATATGCTGAGTCCTATGCTACAGACTAGGAACAAAACTCATTTACTGCTCTGGAAGAACACACAATATAGTGAGCCACACAGACATAAAAACCACCAAATATAAATTACTGTAATAAGTGCTGTAATAAAACTAGGAGTAAACTGCTATGGGAACACAGAAGGTGTGATTAAATCTGCTAGAATAAATTCTGTGTATGTATGGGGTTGGAAGGTGGAGGAGATGAAGAAAGCCAGGAAAACCTTCACTGAGAAGGAGTCATTTGAAATTAGTCATTAGGGAAAGTTGGGTAGAAGAACATTCCAGGAAGCAGGCAAAACTGAGCATTTACACTTGACTGCCTTGTATTATCTGTCAGTTTAGTTTGTCGCACTGTGGTGCTTGCATGTGGCTGTGATGCTGGAAGCTATGCCACCAGTATTTCAAATACCAGCAGGGTCACCAATGATGGAGAGGTTTCAGCAGAACTTCCAGACTAAGACAGACTAGGAAGAAGGATCTGACGATCTACTTCTAGAAAAATGAGCCAGTGAAAACCTTATGACTAGCAGCAGAACACTGTCTGATACAGTGCCGGAAGATGAGCCCCTCAGGTTAGAAGGCACTCAAAATACGACCGGGGAAGAGCTGCCTCCTCAAAGCAGAATCGACCTTAATGACGTGGATGGAGTCAAGCTTTCAGGACCTTCATTTGCTGAAGTAGCATGACTCAAAATAGAAGAAACTGCTGCAAACATCCATTAATAATCAGAACGTGGAATGTACAAAGGATGAATCTAGGAAGATTGGAAATTGTCAAAAACGAAATGGAACATGTAAATATCGATATCCTAGACATTGGTGAGCTAAAATGGACTGGTTTTGGCCATTCTGAATCAGACAATCGTACGGTCTACTATGCCAGGAATGACAAATTGAAGAGGAATGGTGTCGCATTCATCATCAAAAAGAACATTTCAAGATCCGTCCTGAAATACAACTCTGTCAGTGATAGGATAATATCCATATGCCTACAAGGAAGACCAGATAATATGAATATTATTCAAATCTATGCACCAAACACTAAAGTTAAAGATGAGAAAATTAAAGATTTTTACTAGCTTCTGCAGTCTGAAATTGATCAAACATGCGATCAAGATGAATTGATAATTACTGGTGATTGTAATGCGAAAGTTGGAAACAAAGAAGGAATGGTAGTTGGAAAATATGGTGTTGGTGACAGAAACAACACATGATAAAATTTTGCAAGACCAACGAGTTATTCATTGCAAATACCTTTCTGCAACAATGTAAACAGCGACTATACACATGGACCTCACCTGATGGAATACACAGGCATTAAATCGACTACATCTGTGGAAAGAGATGATGGAAAAGCTCAGTATCATCAGTCAGAACAAGTCTGAGGCTGACTGTGGAACAGATCATCAATTACTCATACGCAAGTTCAAGTTGAAGCTGAGGAAAATTAAAACAAGTCTGGGGGAGCCAAAATATGACCTTGAGTATATCCCACCTGAATTTGGATACCATCTCAAGAATAGATTTGATGCACTGAACACTAATGACTGAAGACCAGACGAGTTATGGGATGACTTCAAAGACATCATACATGAAGAAAGCAAAAGGTCTTTAAAAAGACAGAAAAGAAAGAAAAGACCAAAATGGATGCAAGAAGAGACTCTGAAACTTGCTCTTGAATATAGAGTAGCTAAAGCAAATGGAAGAAATGATGGAGCAAAAAGTTGAATGGAAGATTTCAAAGGGTGGCTTGAGAAGACAAAATAAAGTATTATAACGACATGGGCAAAGACCCGGAGTTAGAAAATAAAAAGGGAAGGACATGCTCAGTATTTGTCAAGCTGAAAGAACAGAAGAAAAAATTCAAGCCTCGAGTTGCAATTCTGAAGGATTCTATGGGCAAAATATTGAACAATGCAGGAAGCACCAAAAGAAGATGGAAGGAATACACAGGGTCACTGTACCAAAAAGAACTGGTCAATGTTCAACCATTTCAGGAGGTATCATATGATCAAAAACCAATGGTACTGAAGGAAGAAGTCCAAGCTGCACTGATGGCACTGGTGAAAAACAAGGCTCCAAGAATTGATGGAATACCAATTGAGATGTTTCAACAAACATATGCAGCATTGGAGGTGCTCACTTGGCTATACCAAGAAATTCAGAAGATAGCTACCTGGCCAACAGACTGGAAGAGATCCATATTTCTGCCCATTCCAAAGAAAGGTGATTCAACAGAATGTGGAAATTATCGAACAATACCATTACTATCACTCCCAAGTAAAATTTTGCTGAAGATAATTCAAAAACAGTTGCAGCAGTACATTGACAGGGAACTGCCAGAAATTCAAGCCAGATTCAGAAGAGGACGTGGAATCAGGGATATCGTTGCCGATGTGAGATGGATCTTGGCTGAAAGCAGAGAATACCAGAAAGATGTTTACCTGTGTTTTATTGACTATGCAAAGGCATTCGACTGTGTGGATCATAA